ATTCCACAGTGAGTAGTTTGGCAAGGGCAACGTAAGCTGGCAAACAGGCTGCTCAGTTGCATGAGCAAAGCAACAGGTAATTAGAGGTGCCTGACAGCACAGTAAAGAGTGAAGGTGGGAAGCAGCAGTCAACACACAAACGCCCAAAAATAAAAGCTGTCTTTAAGAGCATGTATTTCCTTCCCCATGACCTCTAGACTGTTCATCTCTCTCCTCCAAACCAATCTAAGAAAAGAGGGCATCACAGACAGTGTGCATTCCTGAAGTAGCAGGGGGGGAAGAGCAGCAGACTTACTAGAGCAGTTAAAGGGATAGAGCTTTCCTGTTGGCAATATTCTAACTTCGAGACTACCAAATCTCGTCTTCTACAATCTCAAATAAGGAGTCTGAAAGAATTGGAAAGGGAGCTTTCTTAAATCCCAGTGGAGAGCACATGGAACCCGTTTGGCTCATTTGTACACCTGTCAGAGCAAAAGCAATCTACAGGAATGAAGGTTCATTACTCCCTTGTCCTATAATGTCAAGCTTTAATTATTCAGCAGCATCCTGGGGAGTTTTACAGTAAATAAGTGGATAAATGAGATTCTACTCTTGATAACAATCCCAGAAATATTTTCAGGTCTTTTTACTTAAAGAAAAAGTAGCAACAACAAAAGAACTAAGAGAATTTTTTTTTATAGCCCTACAAAGATATTTAGACATTAACTTTGAGGAAATACACTTTATTTTTACATGTGGAAAAATGGCTTTACCTTGATTAGGGATGAGAAATATTTCAACATTGTCCTACACTGTCCCATTACCATCATACCCATTGGATGACTCTTGAAAGCTTGGGAATAAACCATCATGAGCAGTACACATTTGGAGTCACTGCCTAAGCAGATATCCTACCACAGAACACTATGGAATGCAGCTGCCTCAGTCTTTACTGTTAGGGCAGTAACATTCACCTAAGATAAATACCAGAAGAAGAACCAAGGTCTAAGGAACAACCACCACCACCACCCAAACAACCAAACCCACTAATATCCAGGATTTTCCTCATGTTTAATGATTTTTTATTATACAGAGTGAAATGATCTAAGCTGCTATAACTCAGTCTTCAGGACTTGGCACTTCAAAGATCCTCTTCCAAATGAGAGAAAGAGAGCATTTGGGTCTCATGAGTTCCAGGATTCCTTACCTGCTGTGTTACTTAATATGAATTGCCTTTTTTCATGGGTAGTGTCTAAAATCTACTGTAAATACAGTCATTTGAGTCCAGATTTCCTGTATTTGTAAACACCATCATAAACCAAGCATCTGAAGTCAAAGCATTCTGTTCAAGCTATAGTCAATGGGTTTGATTTATGCATACAATTAAGAAATTTTTCTTGACGTGTCAGTCTACCAGGCCAAAAAGAAATACAGATGTTTTCAGTGCTGGTTTCCTGTACATGCAAACTTTGAACTCAGACTACACTACTGATCAACTTAAATTAGCATAAATCAACACTTCTCAGTATCACAAGGAGTCCAGGACTCTGCCTTGTTAACTGAAACGTTATTTGGGATCAGATCTGTCACCCACAAACTACTTTGCTCCTTGCTTCGGATAGGCAAGAAGAAAGAGAAATACAGACACACACAATATCCCCTACATGTTCAGAGCAAAATCCAAGTACTGCAAGTCTTGCCATTGGCAAGTATACACAATGATGCTCTGCATGAGACATGGGTATATAGAGTTTGCTGTTCACAGGTTGGCAATTGATGGCTTCAAGGACAACGGTACACTGTGATCCTTCAGTGTGACAACTTCTATGCAACATCAGAGAAAAACATCTGTAAGGCACTGCTTTCTCCTTTTACACACTTCAGTCCTGAAAAATGTACTTGTATGATGACAGAGGAAGGCACTCACTGCCTCTTGAATTCAGAATATACTCTCAGCAACATGTGAGACACAATGGACATCTCAACTCTCTCCTTGACATCTGGGGCTGTAACAAAACTCATTTTGGCATTGTGGCAATCTGAAATTCTATAACATTAGAGTGACTGGGTAAAAACTCATATTTTGGTAAAGGAAAGAGTATAACTTCAAGTACACATAGCCATTAAATGAAGGGAAGGAACTGGTTACTGCAAAAGTCTGCAAATAGAGGCTACCACAGGACTCCTGTTTAATATGAACTCAGCCATGCTGACTCAACTAGACTAGACACTGTAAGCTGAATTTATTCTGGGCATGCATTTTGTGCTTCCCATCCTTCCACAAGAAGGATGCAGAGCTCTTGGAACAGGTCCAGAGGATGTCCACTAAGATGATCACAGGGCTGGAGCACTTCTCTTGTGAGGAAAGGTTGAGGGAACTGGGCTCGTTTATCTTGGTGAAGGCTCCAGGGACATCTCATTGTGGCTTTCCAGTACTTGAAGGAAGCATACAAACAGGAGGGGGAATGGCCATTTATGAGGGTGGATAGTGATAGAGCAAGGGGGAATGGTTTTAAACTCAGACAGGAGAGGTTTAGGTTAGATATTAGGAGGAGGTTTTTCACACAGAGGGTGCTGACACACTGGAACAGGTTGCCCAAGGATGGATGCCCCATCCCTGGAGGCATTCAAGGCCAGACTGAATGTGGCTCTGGGCAGCCCTGGTCTGGTGGTTGGTGACCCTGCACATAGCAGAAGGGTTGAAATCAGATGATCTTTGAGGTCTGTTTAAACCCAGGCCATTCTATGAATCTGTGAGAGGATACTGAAAGCCATGGAATTAAATCAGGCAAACCACACTTCTCACATCATAATGCGTTTGTATGAAAACAGCCACGTTGAGTGAGACCAGAAATCCACTTAATCTATTATACTTTCTCTGATAGCACCTGTAAAGTACAATAATGTCATTAGTTCATCAGGTAGAATAAAACCTAATGCTTCTGTATTTTAAAATTGTCTAATTCAGTATTGCAGAAGGCTTGCACACTCTCACCTGACTTCCTCAGTTCTTGTCTGTAGCTAAGAGATCCAAAAAAAGCCAACAATTATCAGTCTGCACAAACTTAAAATAGAACAGATTTCAAATTAGCTTCCTCAGATGAGCACCAAGACAAAGCAGTAGGTAGGAACTGCAGTTTTGAGAGGGGAAAAAGAGGGGAAGAGCTGGACCACAGGTAATCCTACCCTCGATTGCCAAAACTGTTGTAAACATGACCATGAAATTAAGCTGTGCTACCTGTCCTGTAAGCTACTAGCTTTCACAGTCCTTCCTTTCACTGATCCTTTGCTATCTTAGCACATTAATTTACCAGAAAACCTAACAATAGATTTCCCCCCTTAACTGACTTCACAGACAGAAATAGCTCAGTTAAGAATTTGTGAATGCTGCTATCAGATCTTTGATCCAACTTCCTCACAGAGTTATCTGCAAAACATAGCATACCCCCCAAAGAGCTGCTGCCTCAAAACCAAGAAGTCAAAGCAGAAAAATAAGAAAAATAAGAACGCCTTGTGTAGGCATGCAGCCTACAAGACTCACTCAACAGAAGTGATGTTATTTCACAGTATTTTGTACCCATAAAGAACATTTCAGAATAAGCATCAAAACAAGGCAGCACAAACTACAGTATCTCCCATATCCTACCTCTGGCAGCCTTAACTCTGCCCCAGACATCTAATCTAGTCTGTCCTACACCTGCTTACAAATTATGCGAAAAATCTGCACAAGACAGCTGCTTAAATTCTATTATCTCTACCCAGATTTCTCAAAAGAACACTGAAAAAAATAATTCAACCTAGCATTAGGAACATAACTTCACTGAAGTCAACTAGACACTTCAAGTATCAGTAACAATCTTCTTAGCTAGCACTTCTGAAAATGTCAAAACTGAAATACTTAGCATTTGGTCACAAGGCAGTTTGTCATACTGAGTTTTAAATCAACACAACTTCGCCTCTAAATTTAAGCAAGTATTATAGCCAGAGAAACAGCATAACAATATGCACCCTTGAACTTCCATTTCCTAGTTCCCTTCTGAAATGTGACGTGGCACTACTGCAGCCATCAGCAGGCAGTCTAATGTTATGGAAACGATTTCAAAACTTAATGGTTGTAGAACAGATGGTTACTTTGGAAGAATAAGAATTTCTCAGCTTTGCTAAGTAAAAACTACATAATATAAAGAAGTTTTAGAAGAATTTGGTTGATTCAGGTTAGTACTTAAAAGTTTTTACAGACTACCTCTAGACATCTAGCTGTCTTACTACCCCCACCAACAGCAGGCAACAAGGAGTCAACAGCAATCAGGAGAGAAATTTTAAGTCACTAAACCATTCCATAAACAAATTGTGAAGTCATTCATTCCACTATGGAAACTGAGAAGTTCCCTGCTTGCTAGCATACAAAGGATACAAACTGTCTCTCACCAAATACTTCTCCCAAACTCAAAAAACATCAAGCAGCAGAAAATCTACACCTTTGCTTCTTACACACCAACAGCAATGAGCAAGAACCAGGAAAAGCCCTTTACAAAAAACAAAAACAACAAAGATTAAAGAGAGATTGCCCACCACACAGAACAGCAAGATGGAGTTTTTTCTGTCCAAGTGGTTAAACCACATCATGAGTTTTACACCACAGTCCACTAAGAAGCCCAGGAGAGATTTATAAAAATAATTACGTGCATGTAATTACAACGATATGGTTATCTACCATTAGTCATCTAACAGCCCCAGGGTTGACACCGGTGCTATTTCGTTAAGAAGTAACCAGGTACTGAGTCTTTTTTTTTTTTTTTTTTTCTTTTTTGCCATTAATGCCAGCATTACACGTACCACAGTTCACCTTCAGACACCTATGCTTCCAATTGGGTAGTTACACTCTTCACCAGCTCTAAGCTTGTTTACTGGGGATACCACAGAGCCTCCGTTAAGCACAAACACGGCAGACTCCAGCGAGGAACCCACCTCTGTGCAGTCCAGTTTCATTGAACTGAAACATCACTTTTCTTTAACTTTTATTAAGTTCACTTAGGTTGACCAAATGAGCTTCCCTAAAGTAAACATGTTTATAAAATATCAGCATGATTCTATCTTTAGGTGCTCAATAGAAACAAATACTTAGTTCAACTAGAAAACTTTAAAAATGATTTTAGATACAAAAGTGTAACAATTATACTGAGCAATACATCTGTATATATCACTAAGCCCATGAAATTAAAAAAAAAAAAAAAAAAGTTTTTGCACCATCAAGAACAGCCACAAGTCCTGAACCTCCATTCTTACGCATCCTCGGTCAGAGTGAACTGAAACTTGGGAATGCTTGGGATTCAAAATACCCTGAGCACATACTAGTGCAACACCACAAAGCATACATAATCCATCGGAAAAGGGCAGGGGGGAGGGGGGAACGAGAATCGGATGGTGCTTTATTATACAAGCATGAAAGTTAAGTTCCTTTGGAAAACAACTTCTTGGGTGGACTTCTGGACCAGTGAGGTAGCCCGACGGGAGAAGTGGAAGCGGAACTTGGTCCCCACGCGCGGTACCCGCAGCCGGCCCCTCGCCCGCCCGGGGCCCGGCGCCCCGGCCCCGATTCTAGCGAGCCGTAAAGTGCAGCAGAAGAACATGATCCAGACAAAAGCAATGTAAACAGGTGACTGATATCGGTCTCTTTGTCCGCGCCGGCCGTCCCTCCCCTCCCGCCGCCTCAGGACGGCGCCACGGGCAGGCGGCGCACCCGCACCACGGGCGACAGGTCCACGCCGAGGATCCGCTGCGCCCGGCGCCGCGCCGCCTCCAGGCTGCGCCAGTTGCAGACGCCGCCCCGCACCCGGATGGTGGGGAAGGTGGTGAGGCGGGGGGTGGCCGCCTTCCAGATCTCCTCCAGCGACTTGCCGCCGAACGGCTGCTCCCAGGCGGCCTCCCCGGCCGGGCCGCCCCGCTCGCTGTCCTCGGCCTCAGCCTCCTCCTCGCCCGGCGGCCCCGCCGCCGCCGCCCGCTCCTCGCCGCGGGCGCCGCCGGCCGCCGGTGCCGCTCGGTGCCGCCAGCCCTGCGCCCTCCTGCGGCGCCGCCGCCGCCGCCGGGGCCGCTTGGCGGAGCCGCCCGTGACCGCGGCCCGGCGCTTGGCGGGCGGGAGGCGCCGCTTGCCGGGGCGGTGGCGGGGCCGCTCGGCCGAGGGCGGCGGCGGGTCGGGGACGACGGCGCGGCAGGAGGCGTAGCCGTAGACGTCCTTGCTGCGGAGGATGACCGGGGAGAACTCGTGCTTGAGGCTGCAGAGGAAGTTCCACAGCTCCGAGTCGGAGCTCATGAACTCGGTGGACTTGGGCATGAAGAGCTTGAGGGCGTCGCCCAGCGCCTTGGTGCCGGCGTAGGAGACCTGCGAACGCGAGTACACAACTTTCTCCGAATCGCCCTCCAGCCCCCAGGCGCCGGGCGCCGTTCCGTTCCCGGCGGCCCCCGCCGCCGCCGCCGCCGCTGCCGCCGCCGCCCGGGCCCCCTCCGCGGCGCTCCCCGCTCCTGGGTTCATCTTGCCGGCTCCTCTCTCCAGCGCCGCCTGCTTCCTGCTGCGGGTCATGGGAGCGGAGGGACGGGGGAAAGAGGCGCGGAGAAGGGCAGAGGACGGGCGCCGAGCGCCCCGCCGCTCGCCCGACAGGGAGCGACGATCGATATCCGCCGCCCGGCACAAAATGGCGCTTTAAACTCCCAGGCGGGGACTGCGCTCCGGCCCGCCCTCCCTCCGCGCCCGGCGGTTCGCCCGTTTGAAACGCGTCGCGCAGGCCGAGCTCCGCCTCCCGCACTTGGAGGCGGCCATTGGGGGCGCTGCGGGCGCCCCGCGGGAGGCCGGCCGTGGAGGCGCGAGGGGCTGCCGGGAGCTGCCGCCCGCGGGGCAGCGCCCACCCGTGGCCGGGCGCTGGGCTGCGCTGGGCCCTGCGGCTTCCCGCTGCTCTGGCTGGCTCCGAAGGGCCGAGGGAGGCTCCGCCGCACCACCGTTTCCAACCCCGTGTGCGGTAGGGTGGCCCAGTTGGCAGCTCTTTCCCTTAGGGCGCAGTTCTGCCGGCTTCGAGGCTGCAGGTGGGCCAACAGACTTCGCTGTAGTGGTGGAGCCGCACGTGACCTCTGTGCCACGTGCTGCAAGAGAAGGGTGGTTCACAGAGCGGTGGGAAGGGTGTTTGCTTCCACAAAATGTCTTCAAGTAGGGCTTGGTGAGAGGTTGCCGAGGACAAATCCCCCAAAGGGAGAAGAAAGGCAGAAGAAAATAACAAAATGGGGATTGTTCATTTGGCAGTGACCTACAAAGATCACCAAGCCTTGTCGAACTTCAGCATTACCCAAAAGTTAAAGCATATTTATGAAGATGTTGGCCAAATGCTTTTTGAGCATCAGCTGTCTCAATAGGAAGCCCGTTCCAGTGTTTGCCCACCCTCACAACAAAGAAATCTTAATGTAGATCCAGTCTGAATTTCAGGATGTCCCATCTGGCCTAAAATGAGTGAATAGACATGCTGTGATGACCACACAGCATTAATTACACTCATCCTGTTGCTGCAGAAGAGTTTTAATGTGATGCTGTTGGTCAGTAGCTCAACAGTGTCATCGAGACATTGAAATACGGCACCACTGAAGTAGGCTTCACGTCCCAACCAAGCTGACTGGTAATGAAACCCATAAAAAAAAAAGAACAATCTTTGCTTGGTTGAGCCCTTTCTAAAAATCACCAACTGAATGAGTCCACGCCACTATTTCTTCCTGAATGGCATGGCTGTGCTGGCAGCTCTGTAGGACAACTTTCTCAGCTGCCACAAACCCCGCTGTCTCCCTTGATGGTATTTTCCAATAATTCAGAGATTGTTATCACAGGAAGAGTGTCTTGTCAGGTTCCTGGATTGTTTCAATTAAACCAGCACTCTTTCCAGTATCCAGAAAAGTAAAGTGGCAGCAAGGTCAGAGGTGGTTTAACCTTCCGTACGAACCCTGCATGGGGTTTGATTAGACTCCTAATTACTTTCTCTCAGCATTGGTAAAGGATGAAGAATAACAGTATCTCTCTTCATAGACAGTCTTTATTCTGTAATTAATCTCTCAGTTTAGAATAGGGAAATCTTTTATTCTCAACTCATCAAGAAACTAAATTGGAATGTCTGTGTAGCTACTCAAATAAGAGGCTGAAATTATGTATAAGAAATTATTACTTACTGCCAGTGGAAATAAGTGAATTTTTCTTCACAGTATAATTTGGCTTGTGCGCATGGGAAACTCAAGAATATTAATCCAAATAGCCATTTAAAGTAGGTTTTGACAAAACTATTTTAAATCTTCATGGGGACAGTCTCGAGATTTAGCCATATTCCAAAACATCTTTATAAATGATCTATTTTTAAAAAATACCCTTTCCCCAAACGACAGTTGCTGGTGCCATTTTTAATCAGATTTATTCCACAGCTCATTTCAGAGCTCAGTCGTGCCAGCAGATTGCTTTACCTGAGGGAGATATGCTACAAGGCGAGGGATAAGAAGCTGTAGCTGGAAGCCTTAGGACCACAGATATCTTATCCAGCAGTGTTGCAGATGGCCCCACTCTAGCACGAGTGTCTGGTCACAGCCATGGGATAGCCACAGCTCATCACCCTCTGGACTGCAGGAGCTGGCATGAGCATTCCCAGTGGTGGGAGCTTCCACGCTGTCAGATTCAGCTGCTCAGTTGGTCCATATGCCCTCATTAAACTTCAGAAATGCAGTTGTTTATTGGCTATTGGCCAAGGTCATTGGGCATGACCTTTTTCCTGAGATTACACTTCTGGCTTATGACTCAAAATCATTAATAGAGGTTTTCAGCAAGCGGGGAAGGAGCCACTGTATGAGTTAAAAGATAGATTAGTATGTTTTTGTGTTAATCAGTATTTACAAGTTACTTTTGCTTCTGGTATGAATGATACCATTTTACAGCACAGAATGTAATCTCAGTTTTACAACTTCATTGTAGATTTCTGCAGTGTAACATTCTCCTTTTAATACCTTACAAAGTCATCTCAAGAAAATCCACAGTAATTGGCTCTTTCAGCAATTTACAATAGCTCAGTGCAGTGCTAATGATGATAATAAAATTAATAATCCTTTGGAAGTACATAGCTCTTCACTTTAATCATAGTGCTGCTTATATGCATTAATTATCGCTCACAGCACTCCTGAGTTTTGTAAGCAAATATTGCCTTTCTTTAACAGAGGAATAAAATGAAGAAATGGATTAAAATGGCTTGACTAACGTGTATGGACTCAATTACTTAATTTTCTGTAGATCTTCTTAGTTTCTAACAATCATTATTCTAAAAATACATTGAGTGTCTACACCAAAACAGAGAAGAAAAGATCTAGCAATCTTCATTCTATTTATTCACTAGAATTTCTTTACAGAATTCTTAAGAATGGGAAACAAAGTATAAATTGATAAACCACTACATTAATGTTTTATTTCATAAATAATTCCTGCCTAGTATCAAACAGTGCTGCTAACTACTAAAATGTTATCTGTACACATGATCACATAGAGTTTTGAGTCATGGTGATTTATGCAAAAACCCTGGATATTAAGTCTTATGCTGCTGGGGATTTTTCTCTAACATACTCATGCTCTTCTACCTAGACAGCAAGGACAGTCTTTTACTGTCCAACACCCTTAAAAATTAGCACTCTTTCTTGCAATCTTTTCCTCTGCTGTTGAGAGGCTGTATTAGCTAGCACTCTGCTTCAGTTACTTTGTTTCTTAAATGTCTTTAGCGCACTACTGGGAGACCTTGTGTGACCATGCAAGTCCACATACGTTTGCAGCTCAACTTCAGGTGTTATCCAGCAGTCATCAAGTTCCTTGTTCTGAGCTGTTCCCAGACGAGCACTGGCAAAATTCCTGAAAGCACTTTCATTAAAGACAAAAGCAAGGGATTTATAAGAATTGTGTCTCAATCAGTTGTTAAAAAAACAATTGCTCTTATATACATATATATGAATCACAGTGTACTGTACTTCAAAAAAAAAAAAATTGCTGATGCAGTTGCTGTCAAAAAAGGAAATGAGATGTTAGGAATTTCTCTGGAAGGGAAAGAAAGCAAAATAGAAAACAGCACTGATGAATATAAGTCCACTGTGACTCCACAGATCTGTGCTTCTAGTCCTGCCATCTCTAAAAGGATATAGTAATGATACAAAGAAGGACAATTAGGATGAGCAGAAATTTGGAACAGCTTCTCTTCATTATGAAGAGAGACTAAATAAGCTAAGACTCTTCAGTCTGAAAAACCAGATGGTTGAGGGGGAATACGATAAAGGTTTATAAAACTGTGATAGTACAAAGAAAAAAGATTGTAAGTTATTATGTCTTCGTTTTCATAATCTAAGAATGAAAGACAAGCACATGAAGCTGTATAGCAAAATTTTTTTAAATAACCAAAAAGAGGTACTTTTTTCAGATGACTCATAATTACTCTGTGGATTCCCTTTCCAGCAAAGCTGTGGGTGCCAACTTGGAAACTTGTACCGCAGAACTGAATGCGGTACAAAAAGATGAGCTCACTGAGAAGGGTTTACAAATATTACAGAGCTCACAGTTCAAAGCAATGAATGAGTGGAAGACATGAGGAGAAGGCAAAGATCCTGTTGTGTACAAAACCCAAGACTATCCCCTTGGTCTTGGAAAGCCTGGAAGACAACGGCTAGGCAAGAAGGGAAGACTACATCAGGGGAGGTAACCCTCAGTGTTTGCCCCATTCTTGCACTCTCTCCCTAGTCTGCCTCTTCTGGCCCCTAACAGACAGCCCAGCAGACTGGGTGAACTCTGGAGCTGGCCATCATTCTATTCTACAGACTGATAGAAAAAGAGAAGAGGGCAACCACAACTGTAAAATGTAGCATTTATTTCCCAGTGCCTTCCTGGTGCAACGGCTGGAAGAACATATTCTAGAACTGAAAAGCAATGAAGCATTTTCAGAGAAAGCAGTGCGGAGTTTAAAGTCCATTGGCCGCCAGGACCCACGGCCAGGCAGAAACCCCTGCAAAGACAGAGCCTGAGGTAAAGGCTATTGCACTGGTTATGATTATTGCGTGTTCATTTTTCATTTTCTTCATAGACACAGTAAACACTCTTTCAAAATGGTGAGTGACTAGGTGCAGGAGGGAAGAAAAGATTAATTTTTTTAATACGCATTTTATTTTAATAGCATTTGTTGACAATGATGTTTGGAAGAAAAAAAAAAGAAAAAAGATGTCTGTTTTAGCAAAAGACTTCAATACATCTAAAAAAAAAAAAACAAACCCTCAAGCAATAGTGAACATAAAAATGCACCAAGAAGCATGTTTTGTCATACAGAAAGCACTCTTAGAAGATCTTTCACCAGATGCTGTTTAACGTTTGTTTCCACATTCTGGGAGTAATCTCTATATTCTGCACATAACACTTATGAACTATGTCAAGATAATCATTGTCCTGTTATTAATAAATGCTCTACTGGTGGTCACTGCAGTCTTGGCAATCAATAATAGACTGTTGTCTAAAATGTTAGGTTCATGTCATAAAATACGAGACATTTCTTTCAGAGCAGCTCTCAATAAACATATTGTTAATATATATAAGTAACAAAACTTATTTGATTTTTTAATGTTTTTTATTAAAATGTATTTTAAAAAAAGAGCAACAAAACATAAAAAGCTGATATTTGACCTTGTTTCTGTGAAACTAACACAGGAGTCTGCTTTGATGGCAGCTGTTGCAATTCAGTGATTTCTCAAGGGTTCAGTAGGGATTTTTGATGAATTTTTACTCTTCCTGTACTTCATCCTTCCAAATAATTTTTCACTAATGTACTCACTGCCAAACAACACAAATAAGGCGTGGCTCTGAAGTGAGCAATATTTCTCTCTGGTAAGAGAGGGCTCATGAAAGTCTGGTAGACAGACATAGTTAAATCTTTTACTTCAACTCTATACATCCCACTGGAAAACTGTCAAAAAATTATTTATGTCAGCTGAAAATGGAGTCACAAGTAAATTAAAAAATTGGTGCTTTTCTTGCACTCTTGAAACCTATTCTCAAATACCTTTACCACAATGCAAAGCACGACTGCATATTATTTGCTGTTTATAGAACTGTGTTTAGCCAATGTATCAAAATCCATAAACATATTTGCTGTAACTTGAGTTGGCACTGCAGTGCAGCCCTGGTTTCAGCCCAGACAGAGTCAATAGGACACCAATGCTGGGTTGGTGCTGAGGGCCAGGCGGCTCGGTGGGGCAGAGCTGTGGCTATGGCTGCACAGGGCAGGGGGTGGCTGCAGTGCGAGCTGTGCTGGGCCGTGTGGGCTGCGGGCTGCGGGCTGGTGTGCCTGGATTAGATGATCACCAGAGGTCTCTGCTGACCTTGACAATTCTCCATGGATGGAGAAAAAGGCAAACAATTTATTTCTTTGTATTTTTTTTCTTTGTTTTGATTTTTAGTTTGCTTTTGTTTGTCTTTCATTTTCTTCCCCCCTTCTCTTTATTGATGGTAATATGTGTGCAGGAACATTCTCCTATTTTTTTTTTTCCTATTGCTTTCTGTCAAAAATATAGTCCTACAGTATATCCTCTAACTGATAATTTTAATTTATAAAACAAAAGAATGCTCTGCAGCACTTTCCCATACACGACCAACCAGTGTGGTTTTAATCTGAAAATGTGTGTTACTGATGATGTAAAATTAGTAGATAACAAATCAGTCTAGTAATACTTTTTGAATATAATTCCAGCGTAAGAAATACATTGCTCAAGAACACAGTTCTCACGCATCACAGACCATGTCATTCTGTAATATTGGTCACACTGCATTTCCTGAGGCTCAGTACTATTTGAAGTACTGAGACTGTTAAATCAAATGTGAATTTCTCTCCCTTGTCTCAACACAGACTATGTTTAAAGTCTGCTAAGAATTATTTAAAAACCTTATTGGTGAGATCTTATCTTTGATGCCACGTGTTATTGAATCATAGAACCATAGAATCACTAACGTTGGAAAAGACCTCCAAGATTGCCCAGTCCAACCATCCACCTACCACCACTACACCATGTCCCTCAGTACAATGTCTAAATGTTTCTTGAACATCCAGTGACTCCACCACTTCCCTGGGCAGCCTGTTCCAGCACCTGACCACTCCTGTCAATTTAAGAATTCTTTTCCTGATACACTCCATTCTGTACTTCCACTTTCCTTTATTCCAGATACATATGTTGCCAAAGTACTGGGCAGTAGAAACTCAGTGCAGAACAGTGTGAGAGCATGATTGATTTTTCGTTGAATTAGCCACGGGATATAACACAGTGTTTATATTGGGTTTATGTTTTATTCTGGACTGGAGAGGCCGTGACAGGCAATCCAGCATAAAGCCCATGGAGAGAAAGCTGCCCTTCAAAATACTTTGAATGAAGTAGAATAATGGAATTCAAGCTGCATCAGCTTTTTATGTCATAGGGATTCGGCATTATTAAATGGATGCTTAGAGCAGCTTTTCTCTGTCACTCATCATGTCTTAGTCAGGCTCCTCTAGTTTGTTTTCTTTGTCCACATGAACCTTGCCCTCCTCTCTGCCGGCAGTGCTTGTTTTAAGAAGTGTAGATGCGGATCTCTTGCCAGCTCGGCCCTGGCACTTCCGTGGGGCAGAAGAGTGATCTTCGGGCACCTGAGGTAGGAAAGAGTCTTGATCTCTGTTTCAGTGAAAGTTGTAAGCCCTTAATTATTATGCAGATGTTGGTTGTTAGCATTAACACCTCATTTTGAATTTCTCTTTTGTGCTTTGAGTTAGCCTGGAAGGATGATCTGCTTACCCCCAAATTGCTCCTGCTAAGGGACCTCTGCCCCCACTGCAGCGCGGCACGGGGATGTGCAGAGCTGGGAGAGCGCTCACGGACGTCACAGAGCCAGGAAAAGGGTTAAAACGCCTGGCTTCGGGTCGTGTTACTCGTCTGAGATCCTTCCACGGTGTAAAACCTGCCAGACGTTTGCTCATGTTATTTGTGGATGCATCATCTTATATACACCGAACACACTTACCGTGTTTCATGCATATCTTTGGAAAATATTCCATATATTTCATGTATTTGGTGCAATTCTAGATCAAAAACCCTGGATTGTGATTGGTATTCATTTTCAAAATATTCTATTAAATTGAGGTTCAGTAACGATTGGCAGCATTCCTTATAATCAATTTGAAGTTATTGTGAATTCACCTCCACACAAAATAAATACCTAAATTAGATGATTGGAACACGTTAATTATTTTGACTAATTTTCAGAATATTATTTAAAGAAAGAATAAAAATAGGAACCTAAAAGAATATTTTGAAAATATGCT